GTTAGAATACAATAAGTACCTTTTGACAAAACGGGAGGGCAATGAGCTTCCTCTTTCTCTCAGCGCTTCATGGACTTTCAACTTTCTTTCGATTGTTATCTGCGTTTTATTAAGACGCTGGTCTTGCAAATCTGTCTTGAACATTCTTAGACTCCTGAGTATCGGCTGCGTTCCTTGTGAAGTTTGTATTTCGCCTGTTTCCGTCCATATAAAGGACTTTTTGCCAGAGTTTTTCCCCTAGATGTTTACTTGCCATATCATGCATTCAAACAAGTTGTTTATCATTATTGTTTAAGATTTTCGCGCCTTAAATTTGGACACAAACAGCCTGTTTTCATCTTCATGTACGCGCCCTGCTTTTTCTTTCACTTGATTTCTTTTTGTTTCAATTTACGACGGAAACTGAATCGGCTTGGAATAAAGAGGTATAGAAGCGTATGCAGCACCTATGGTGAACAAATATTGGAACAAACCCAGTAGACCCAGTACGGATTGTGATCATTCTTCGTATTCGAGTGGAAACGAGCCAAAAGACAAATCATGACTTTTGCTACGAAACAGCAAGTCAAGTTTCGCGCCAAAATAGCCGCGGCTGCTACACTACGTTGTAGAGTGAAATATTTCTATTTTGAAAATTTTTTGAGAGGACTGAGGAAGTAGAGCCTTATTTTAATACCTGTTCGGATACGGGCGGTTTTGTCATTGTACTCATTGAAATATTTTGATTTCCATTGTACTATAATACATTTACAACCGTGTGCTTCTGTCTTTTTTTATAGTGTTAGTTTGCGTGGATATCATTATTTCTGGGAGAGTATGATCTATATTGCTGTTCATGATCAAGCCGTTCTGACAGCCGAAGTAGCTTAAAGGGTCTGACTCTGTGCAATTGTCGTCAATCTTTAAAACCAACGGAGTAAAAACGCAGAGATTTATTCTTAATTTTAAGTTAAAGTATCGCAGTGTGTGGTAACCATTTTCGTCCAAAATCTTTAATACAAAGACAATTTTGTTGTTAATTTTTTTTTAACTTTGTGATTGTAATTGCTTATTTTTGCTATTTTTCCCGTTGTTCTTGCCAAGGTACATAGCCTTGCAAATTCATGATATATTCTTGTCACTTGTTATGGTTAAAGTGAATTCAAAAGGAACTCATCAAGTGCCAAGATAGCTCAGTTGGGAGAGCGTCAGACTGAAGATCTGAAGGTCCCTGGTTAAAATTCGGAGAACTCGCACGAGTTCTGAATAATCCCGGGTCTCAGCAAGAACTTTTGTTTTTGGTTTTTATCTTACTGAAAAGTACGTTGTTCGGATACGGACAGTTTTGTCAATGTACTTATTAAAACATTTTTATTTACATTTAATTTGCTATAATACATCATTTACAACCATGTTAGACTCTGTCTTTTTTAGTGTTAGTTTGGATATTATCATTTTCTTGGATAGTATGATCCATATTGCTGTTAATTATCAAGCCGTTCTCACAGCCGAGATAGCTCTGTTGGGAGAGCGTCCCTGGTTCAGATCCGGAGAGTTCGCATGAGTTTTGAAAGAGTCTCTGCAATTTTAGTCAAAATTTAAAACCAACCGAGTAAAAACGCAAAGATTTATTCTAAATCTATAAGTAAAGTATCGCAGTATTTAGTAACCATTTTCGCCGAAAATCTTTAATACAAAGACAATTTTGTTGTTAATTTATTTTAAACTTTGTGATTGTTATTGCTTATTTTTGCTCTTTTTTCCTACGTTCTTACCAAGGTACATAGCCTTGCAAATTCATGATATATTCTTGTCACTTGTTATGGTTAAAGTGAATTCAGAGCGATATCATCAAGTGCCGAGATAGCTCAGTTGGGAGAGCGTCAGACTGAAGATCTGAAGGTCCCTGGTTCAATTCCAGAGAACTCGCATGAGTTCTGAATAATCCCGGGTCTCGGCAATTTTTTTTTTTTTCAAAATGTAAAACCAGTTTAAATATGTAAAGATTGCTTATAAACTCTTAACGTAATGGTATAAAGTATCGACGTTTTGGGACTATTCTCTTCCATTACAAAGGTAATTTAGTAAAATTTTTTGGGTCGGGTAGCAGCTCTCGTAATGTCTCACATGAATTGCTTGATACCTTTTGAGAGGACAAAGGAACAAACAACAGAAACAATGCGTCTAGCTGCGCCCTAAAACAATAACAGCTGCTAACAATGAAAAGAATTACTAGCTTAGGAGAGTTGCCATACTTAGTATGATAGTATGAGCAAATTTTTACAATCTCAAATTGTCTTTGGTCCGTTATCAAGCCAGCTTTATAGTATAAGTATTCCTGATACCACGATCCTTCTCACTTGTTATAGTTACAGTGGTGATTTAAATGACATGCACCGTTGCCGAGAAAGCTCAGTTGGGAGAGCGTCAGACTGAAGATCTGAAGGTAGAACCCGCATGAGTTCTGAATAATCCCGGGTCTCGGCACACTTTTTATTTTTACGTTAAACCCTCTTTCGAACAATACGTCCTTGCGTTTTGTTAAAATAAGTTGTCGTATCTAGTCATGGAAAATTTTCACAGTAATGGTTGGACAACAAAACGTTACCTTTTGCTTATAAAGTCGTCATAGTTTTTTATTAAAATTGATTAACTATTGATTAGTAGACACTCCGCATTTAACCATAACACAATTGTGCCCGTTGTACTCGGAAGGGAAATTAGCCTAGTTTTTTTTTTTTTTTTTTGGCTTGAAAGTGTTTTAGAATGTTGTACTGTTGTCCTTTAAGGCCGGCACACACTAGGGGACATGTTGTAACGACAGTTTTCCTCGCTTGACAAATCCGTTTGTTAAAAGGTTCTGTTGCGGGGACAAAAGAATGAGCTCATTTAAATATTCGTGCGTTATGACGCAGGGATAAGACGACCTTAGTTTTCAATATGCAATGGACAATCACAAGGCTCTCCATTCGCCCTCCATACATTAAGGGGTTATTAAGGTAGTCACGCAGCCAACAGGTGACAATCAACCCATTTGCTAGTCACGTATCTAACATGTTTCACCAGTAACCCACCTGTCATTCGCCCAACCTGTCACCCCAGTCACGCGCCCTTTCCATTTCCAAGCAACACACTTCGACCGCGCAAATAAAAACTCCTTTATTACTCTACGTTGACAAAGAAAGCAAGCCTCGACGGCTGCAGTTCTTTCAGAAACTTTTACAACGAGCAAAGTACTTTTCCATATATTTATATATGACACTATCAATCACAGTTTTAACAGGCCCTCTCACTTTCTAACTTACTATAGCGCGCTTATAATAAGTAATCGAGTAAAGACTGTAAAACCTCCCTATTTATAGAGACAGAGAATTCTTGGTTGCTGCCCGAAGAAAAACGAAAACAAAGAGCTGAAAAAATTCTGGTTTACACTCGGTCTCTACATAGATGTGAAGACGGCCGAGTCCCGTATTTTCTAAAATAACATCCTCTCTACATGTAAAGGTTTCACGGCGACCATTCTTAACTATTAGTGAACGCGATAATTCCTGAAGGTTTTCATCTCTGCTCGACAATCTGCCCTGATTTCTTCCCTTAATTAAAGCAACTACATCATGGTTTGTGCCTCTTGAAAAGTTGAGCGTAAATTTTTCAAGTTCCTCGTTGTAATCCGTGTTAATCTTCTCCATCCTTAACCATCCTTGTTTCTTTATGGTTTATTATTATATCTTTGGTGTTTTTCTATCTTGGTAAACTATTATTTTCAGGTTTCGTTCAATTTAAAGATAGTTTTGTATGTGGCCAAAACAACTCAAAATAATGTGACCGAGCTCCTCTAAGAATACAGCTCCGTTTCTTCTTCGTGTGCTTCTGGTCTCCGTCGATTTCTTTATGTTACTAGCAGTCGAGCAAAGAAACGGCCATTATTTTAGAAAATACGGTTCCAAACGCCAGCAGCTTCCCCATTTTCTCCAACGATCAACACCGAAACTCTCTTTACAGCCTTTATTGATTTGTTATAATACGTCTTACGAGAATTGAATTTTGGATCAACTCAACTCCGGGGATGATCAAATGCTTCATTCCCCTAACCTATCCGCTTGGATTCGATAAACAACGTTAGGGGAAACTTAGATTTGATCACGGTTGTAATTTCATTTCCCGGTTAGCTTATAATTAAAAAGTAAGCTCCTAATTTTCAATGCTAAGGAAACACTAGTACCTCGGCCAAGTTCGCGGAATTTCTCTGACGAACCTTTGCCGAGAATAATACAAATCATATACACGAGTCAAGACATCATTTCTGAGCCATCTTAAGATGGCGCTACTATTAAATTGTCTTGCAAATAAATATACACAGCGTAAACAAGAACCTTCTTTACGCTGATCTGGTTGAAAATTTGCCGCTATGTCAGTTCGATGTAAATGTTTCAAACATCTTTTTTTTCTCTCTCTCTGGTTTACTTTTACTTATATTTTTCTCCGTTAAGCGAAATTTTATTGATCTACAATCGCTACTACGTCCTTGATCTCTCACGCTAAGAGATTAGGCGGGCAGAAATACTCTTCTTTTTTTAAGTTAAGAATTAGTTTAGAATTTGTACAAGTGTAAAAGATGATGAAATTTCATAATAAACCTATAGACATCAATTTTCTCTCTGCTTTGCGCTGCACCAAGGAAAACCTCACACGCCTTCGATGCACGACTACCAATAGAAGACGAAATTAAAATGGATAAAAAGGCAATTAAGTATTTAGAACATCACAAGCAGCTATTTGACAGCCGTAAAAGACCTCAATCACTAATAACGTCTTCAATTTACCATTCTCTCCCCAGTCCCCAGGTGCTCTGCGGAATCTACCAATGATACTTTGCGTGCCTAAAAACAGGCCATGACAAATGATGGACGGTTGCTGTGCCAATCATATATCGCCTATTTTCTACGTCACGTTCTACGGTACAGGACCAGTAGCCGTAAGGCTTGTTCAAGTTCGACTTCTCTGTTTCTGTGTGTATGTACATGACGGGATATGTGCGTGAGAATGGGTGCTTCATGGCGTGACGGGACCGTTTTCTTCTTTGCTGTATTGCGTGATGTAGCGATGACCGGAGCTCATGATTTTCGCGCCCGCGCGCATCATGACCTGCGCCTGCTGGAATGACTGTTTGATCTCTTTCATCCACTCTTGGAATTCAGTCTCGGTCTGAAATGAACAGGAAAATGAAACAAAAGGTTTTAAGGAAAACGACCACTTTTTTAAGTTTAAAAGACATGTTTCGACAGAACTTCTGTCATCTTCAGTTTGCATTACGAGGCAAGTGGCCCATCAGGTCTGAGTTTATCCCGGTTTCTGTAGAATGAAGTGACTATGGGTATTTCTACTCTCCCCTGGATGGGATGCTAGTCCATTGCAGTGTTACCCTCCAGCATTAAATCCGCCGGTACCCAATTGTACACCTGGGTGGAGAGAAGCACCGTGAGAGTGAAGTGTCTTGCCCAAGAGTACAACACGATGTCCCCAGCTAGGGCTCGAACCCGGACCGCTCGATCCGGAGTCGAGCGTACTAACCATGAGGCCAACGCGCCTCCATGGATACATAATAATTTAGGATATTGAATAACAGACAAAAGCCTGAGAGACAGCGGTAATAATAAAGTTATGAATACAAAACTTAAACCGACAACTTAAATTATTTGACAGCACAGAAATTTAGACGCACTTTATTAACGTAAACAACTGTGCTAAGATATTCTCGTTCCAGCTCACCTCTGCTCTGAGGATGTGGTCCCTGTTATCCCGGATGTTTGTGCTGATTTTGATACATTTAAAACCTTTGACATGTGTCTCCTCAACTCCCGTTATGTTCTCCATGCATAAAAGACTTGGCATTTGCTGAGTAAAGAAATCACAAAATGATCAGCAACATTAAGGTCTTACACATGGGACAGTTCTTTTGTTAACTGTCGCTAGACAGTCACGAGAAGGTGCAGGAGTTTATGGGAAGCCACCACGATTCTCCAACATCCCTTTGGAAGTAAGAGACGGAGAAAGAATCTAGATGTGTCAGCTTCCCTTAGGCGTCGCCCTACATTTGCGGTCGAGTGTGACTTTCTAATTTAGAAGCTTTATATCAACGTGAGTCATTTGCATTTGGAAAGACTCCCCGCATTACCCTTAGTTGCAGGCTCATTCAGTCCAATACCGAGAATGCGGAAATGCTACCTAATGCGGACCTTGGGAACCAGGTCTTTTCACGCGCGCGGGGAATAGAACGAACGGTAAAACCATGCGTCGTAAGAAAGATTTGACAAAGTCTTTGACTGGAACAGTACACCGCAAAGGAGAAGCTTTCAGGGTTCCGAGTACCTACTGTAGTTATCTCTGATACTTTCACCAAAGCTGTCAACAATTTCCACAACTTACCCCAGCTTGTTCTCCTCGCCACTCCAGTCGATTGGGAAAGAGATGGAAGTATTTTCTTGGCCAGTTACTCATCAAAGTGCCGCCCAACTTATAGAGATAACCTTCTAACAGACGGTCTCCATCCTCAGGTACTAAAATGACGAACATGAAGTGAGAATATTGCAAAATGGTAACAGCTACAGCAACATCAAACACTCGATCGTCAGACGAAGAACGATCACGAGAGAGCGAAGGAAATTGAGTCTAAACACTAAATGTTAATTTGTCTCTACGAGATGTGATGGAATAGGCACATATGGTCTCTTAAGGTTACAGTATACCTTCAGATCGGCAATTTTCTTCAAATTTGGATTTTTGGTTCAAACTAATGGTCGAAGAGTAATCTCTAATTTCTGAAA